GGAAACTCTGTCCATCCTGAGGGAACGTACTTGCATATCTAAATACTTTGATAGATTGTTGAATAAATAAACCTCTACGAATATTTAAAACTGGAGTAGTCCCCCAACAACATTCGGATGCAACATGTACCAATGCATAAGACGAAATAAACTTATTAAGCGCCATTATAAATAGTGGAATGCACACTACACCAATTTTAAAATTATTAGACGTTAATTGACCTAACAATCTAAAGTATTTAAGTAGAAATGAAGTACATTCGTTTTTTTTATTATAATTTTATTTTATTTTTTAACATTTTTATTCTTTGTAGTATTGACAATTTATATTCAACAGATATGATATTAAACATGATATGATATCAAACCAACAATATATTTAGCTCAGTATTGTGAGCTCAAATCGTTTCGGAACAATCACGGGATTTCGTGGAATAATTTGAGACGTCTAACTTAAAAATCGGTCCAGACGTCAGCTCAAAAAATCATCACACAAATAAATAACCTTCTTCGAAATAATAAGATAAAAATAGCATTACAAGGTAATTTAGTATCATACCGAAAATCCACAGGTCTCACCACGCATCTGTCTTAAGTTAGTTTTCGAGGCATAAAAACTTTTAAAAGAGACGAACGGTAATGTGGTTGAATGGGAAGAAAAATGTTTATGGTTCTTTGATACTTCTCCAACCAGGACAGTTGTGGAAAGAGGTGAACTTTGTGAATGTTTTCTTCAAGAAATAAGCATATTTTTACCAAGTCCGGTCCCATCTGGCATGGCTTGATTAAAACGCTCGTATTTTGGTTCTCGCATTCAATCAAAAGTACTCCAACAAACTTTCTTCTGTTGCGAAATTTCTTCCGTTACTGTTCTGAGTTGATCTGAAGATATCTTTGAAGTTTCGATTTACCTAATTATTTAACGGAGCGACGACCATGGATGGCCACCGTATTAAATTTTCTTGGAACTCGAGAAGTTAATTATGTAGAGATATAAATAACTATTCAGTATTTAAACGTATTAATTGAAAAAAATCCATAAGTGGAGCCTACTATATTTTAGTTGCTCTTCCCTTTTCCCTAAAAAAAGTTTCGAAAATGTAACCATTAAAATAGGTTGATTTGAATATAATAAACAAACGAAAAAATCCATTTACAGTATAAGTGAATTATGGACTATTTTCCTCATATGATAAAGTAACATCAGGATCATTTATTAGATTAATTTGGAAGCTCCATACCTTGTAAATTATACTACATGACATATTACAAGAGTTTTACTTGTAATAAATATCATTTAAAAAAAAAAATTGAGGAGAAAAATTATAGTAAATTAAATATATATATATATAGATTACATACCTAAATTATATAAACAGTACCTACTGTAAATAAAGCCAATGAGAAATTACCTGCAACAAATATCTATCGTCATTAACTGTCAATAGCTCTAATAAATTTAAGCAAGTCTCAGCAAGGTTTGTATATATATTAGCCTTTAGTGCGAAAGGAAAAGAGGCACTTAAAGCCAATCCTACAATTTGATTGGAAAAAAACGATGAGGATCAAGATCTCAAAATACAAACAGAAAAAGAAGAGATTTATATATAATACATTCCATACCTACAGGAGAAATATTGAGAAGAGTTTGGTGAAAGATAATATTAAGTTTTGGAAACTTTGGTTCGGGAGTAGAGGGGGAATTCTACTTTCAACTGCTGAGGTTTTGGAAATGCTGAGTGTGGAAAAGAGCCGCCTGCAGAGTCCGTCATACTCTTCAAGGATGACGCCATACTCTACTAATCCAAATAAATTATTTACGACTCGTTAGGGATCCTGCATCATCATATGTATTAATTCTAGCTACTTTGTTATGAGCTCTACAAACAGTCATGAGAAGGAAGAGCCCCCTTTTGTTCAACTTAACACTGGAGAAAGTGATAAGAATATCAAAATAATATGGAGAGATAGAGGTCAGAGAAAATCATAAACTCTTTGGATATCTAAACGATATATCTGTTGTTAGAAGCTACCAAGAGGACTTATTGAGACTCTTTAACACAGACTCTCTAAGCACGTTTGATTGTATGTTTATAGTAGAGCTAATGGTCCAACAGATATATGAAGAAAACAAAATACATTATACATTGAAACAAAATGCATTATAGTAAGCCAAAAATTCCAAGCTATGTGTTAAGTAATACCAAAAGTAATGTTATCTCTATTTTATTTTCATTTAAATTTAATAGTTAAAAAATAAAACCCCTCGTAAGCCAGGGTAGGCCACCTTTGGAACTACGCAAGTCTGGCTGCTCTCTCCTCTTGTCAGGCCTGATTGTATAACAAGCACAAACTGAGCATTTTTTGCTGTTTCAATGGTATTTAAATTCCAAAAAAATCTCTAGATATCTAGAATTAAGTCAGTTCTGATTAAACCTAGGCACACTACTATCCTAGAAAGAAATATTGAAATACTCAAAAGCAAAATCCTCTGTACGATAACCAGAGTAATCTACGATGGGAATTCTAACACAAGCATAAGAAGTATTAATAAATAATTACTTACAGAAACTGGTCAATTAACATCTCATGGTATGAAGGCAAGGAAGTTAAGATGGTCAGTTTATGTAGCTAAGAACAATCCATTAGGAAAATTCTACTTAACAATATAAGACTAAATAGTTGGCAAGGTATCACTTGGGGCCCAAAAACCAGATGAATAGATTGATTCAACAATGTTACAGCAGAGCTGCATGTAATAGCCCAAAGCTGCCGAAAGGAATAAACAAAGGAATATTCCTAGATAGACAAAGATGGATAAGCCTAATTCAGGCAGCCATAGTCTATAAAGCAATTTCAGTAAAACCACTAGGAAAAATAAAATAACAAAATGGTTATAAGATTGTAATAACAGTAATGAACTTATTAAAAAACCTTTTTTGATGGAGTATAATGCAGTTTAAAGAAACTTTAGAACAATGTGAACTTTTTAATGACATTAAAAGCAATGATAAATAATGAGAGAATATAAAATGCCTTTATTTTATTTGATGCAATATTTTAATTATTGTGAAATATCTGTAAATTCTATGTTAATTGATTTGAAAGATCATTCTATTTACTAATACCTTACGTAAAAACACAAAACGAACATTTGCGAGGTATGTACATAGGAACATTTTTATAGATATAAAATTAGTTGAAATTAATGGTCAAGCTTCTTATTAAAGCAGGTTTGGTTGTAGTTTTAGTACCAGCCCCACCCCCCTTCTATGCCACTAATGACAAGGAAAAATAATAGATCTAATACATGATACCATGGTAGTACAGACCAGCCTTAATACCAATATCATACATATTAACTTAATACCATATGCTGGATAGAAAATAAAAATCATAATTGTAAAACTGTGAAAGAAATTATTAGTTAATTTATTAATAATCTATTTGTGAAAAAAAATAATTCTTATCACTTATCAAGAAATTGAATTTCTTTAGAATTATAGAAAATGAGGTAAATTAAAAACAACAAATGCTATGATTGAATGAATATATCAAAAAATAGGTCCTTCAAATTACAGCAGTTCACATCTGTATTTTTTAACCCGCTTATAAGAGTAAAAAAAAGTGTGAAATTTATTTATTAGTTTCCTTAGTGTATAAAAGAAAGAAAAAGTTCATCATTCATATTGGGCTGATATTAGAGTGTTTAATTTTTTTTTTTTTTTAAATAGACAAAATTCAAATATAAATGAATAAGTGGCATAGCAATAAAAGAAGAATTACAAACTGTGATGTTAAAAAGGCTAAGTAACGTTTTGTGATTGCTAACTGTGACAAAATTATTTTCCTACACACACTCAAGAAAAAAATTAAGACATTATAAATAACAAAATTGATAAATAAATTTTATTTTCAGTATTTACATGAAAACAATGTTTTTATATAATACAAGAGTTGTTATTTTAAATATTTTTTTATTCATTATCATGAATTAGATGGTTCTTAAATTTGGCAGGTGTAAATATTATTTTAACTGGCCACACCCTAAAGGAAACCAGTTATTTAACACGTTACTAGTTACAAGTTACTCTAATCTCCAGAGCCCTCGGTCCTTAGGTATCTGATCTCCACCTTGATGCTGTCTTTGATGTCGGCAGATGTGTCAGTATATTTTAATTTTGTTTTCGGCATCTCAAAATAATTTTAAAAGATTATTTGCTTTGTTCAATACATAGCAGTATGTGGTAGAATTTGTATTTTTTGTAATGTTTAAGTCATTTAAAATGTTTCATAATTTTATAAAGTCGGACCACATTTTGAAAGTTGTTCTTTAGAACATTAAATTAATTAAAATACTAAAAACTCAATTTTAAACAAGGATGTGTTGAGAAAAAAGGAGTGTTGCAATTTATTTTTCTTTTCATAACATTAATCACATATCTAATATGAAACACGTTTGAGTCTTAAGTGCTTAGATCAGGCATACAATTTTTTGGAAGTTTGAGGGCTTTCAGAATTTTCACTGTAAGAAATGAAACATTAAGAACGTTATTACATAATTTATGGGAAAAAGCAAGCTAATATGGACTACTCATTTACTTCAACAAAAACAAGACGATAATATTTATACACAAAATACATATGTTTTAACAATAGTCTTATTTTTTTCCCTGAAATATGATGAGGAAAATTACTATATTATTTCTTATTTATTAATTTTGTATAAATGGGATATATATTTTATCAAATATAAAGTTTAAATTTAGCTTTAAATAGAAATTTTTCCAATAAATAGATTTTTAGACCTTTGGTCTTACCCAAATTACACCAAAAAAAGTTTATAGTTTTGATGAAAATTTTTTCTTGAAATGATAATTACCTGTACTAACCTCAAAGTATTGTTACTTTGGTCTAAATCACCCAATTATATATCTTTATGTGCAACTGCACTACTGAAATGTTTTTTTAATATCAAAACAAGAATTAATTTTACATACCGGATACGGACGCGAGCGATGCTCTGCCAGGCGAACATACGGACAAAAAGTTTGGCTCCTGAAATTTGGGAGATGGTGGTGCCCTGGGTGTCTCTTCCGGGGTGACATGTACCGACACCGGACTAGCTGAGAGCAGCAGCTGTAAAAAAAAAAATTATGGATGTTAGTTGGATAGCAGGTAGTAAAAGAGAACCAATGCAGAAAATATAAATTAGTTAAAGTTGGTTTCAATGGCATTGGTGCTTACTATTTTTAGTTAAGTTATCATCAATGGGAAATCGATGTTGAAAAAAAGTATTTGAAATAGAATGCGACAGTTCTATTTTAAAAAAATAATAAACCACAATAAATTTAATTGTTCATTAATATATTGATATCCCAGTAATATTTTGTGATGGATAAATGTTTAATATAAATAGGTATGTGACAAAAAAGAAGATATACTTATTTGAAAGCTTCCAGATTTTCCAAGGTTATAAACTTTGACTTATTTACTCAAATCATATACAATATGGATTGGTCCTCTTCTTTTAAATACTGCCCAATTATGATAGAATAATAAATATATTAACAATAGTTATCACACTGTATATTGTACATTCTAACATAATTGGGTTATGAGGTGAAAATGACTTAAAATAGAAATGAAAATGAACTTGAAACTTTTAACCTTAAAGGCTTTAATTTTTTTTTATAAATACTAGTATGAATTCATTTGTAACAAGTTAAAAAAACAAATATGTAAAATATCACAAGAGAGAACTACAATAAAATTGTAATGCTGCTTAGCTGTGTTGAGTTGCTAACTGACACAGCATACTGATCCATCTGAATGATAATATCTAGTAAATAACTGTCATAAATACCAAATGCTTTGTAAATAAAAATGGCATTTGTTGTTTAAATTTCAAAAAAAGAAATTTACCTGTAAAATCTAAAATACAAACATTAAGAAATTATCTTTAACAAGTCAATTTTATTTGTCTGAGGGCATACAATCAACTAACAAATAAATAAATTAATTAAAAGTCTAAGATGTAAGTAAAAAGAATATAGTGTTACGAATTTAAAATTATGGTAAAAAGTGTACTAAGAAAAAAGAATGAACATTGGTACATATTGATAATATCCTAGAAAAAATAAGCCACCACATGGTATAAATTAGTGTAGGCTTCTTCTTCAGAAACGTTCATTGTAGATATTGCTAGAGATATGAAGGACTTTTAAATTTTTTATGATTAGGTAACCCAGCTGTATTTGTGAATCAAATGGCACATGCCTTAAAGGCAATTTGAAGGCTGCTCTATACTAAGATGTGCTTTTAAAATTTATACTTATATCCATACTGATGGAATATGTTAAATTTAGTACATTTACAAGATATTATGCAGACTATACAACAATCTTAATAAGACATCAAAGTCCAATACACACCTCAAGGACTCTATAATATCATCTAATTAAATTTTATGACTATTGCAAACTCTGGAAAATTAGTCTCAACCAAGACAAATCACAACATATTACTTTTATTCTTCGGTGTGAAACTTTCCCTCCTATTTATCAGGACAAGGTCCAAATTCCTCAGACAGATATAGTTCAATATCTTGGACTAACATTCGATAGAAAAATGACTTGGGGCCGACATATCAAGAACAAAACAAAAACACTAATCCTAAGGCTACAACTGCTTTATTCACTCCTTTCAAGACATTCCAAATTAAAACAGTCAAAAATTGAATTGTATTGTACAATGAAAAAAAGGTCATGAAGAGGAACAAATAGTCTGAAACTTATATAAAAAAAAATTGAAGTTGTTAGGTTTAATTAATATCTTAGATATGAAAAGTAAATCTAATAGAGAAGAAATTATCTAAGGAAATGCATTCTTAGTAAATTATGTTTCTGCAATAGTTCAAGTCAACTGACCTGATTTCAAAAGAATTAACAAGGTAAACTTATTAGAATGATTCTATAGTTCATTAAATTGCTATTAAAAATTATTTCTACTTTGCTTTTTTCTAAAAATATTTATGATTTATAAAAATGTTCATTTAAATTGTATAACACTTCTTAAGAATCTTTGAAATCATTCAAATCATTTAACCAAATTCTCTTATGGAATGAAATTTGATATATTTAAATTATTCCTAACATTATGTACAAATCGACACATCAAATGTAAACATTTGGGGAAATTATATTTGCTAGTTTAAATTTTTCAAATTTATTTTATTTACATTGAAGAATACTCATATAAATATTATGTGATATTCATTTAAAATTGTTCAAGAAGGTTAAAGATACTAAATACTCTAAAAATTGAATCATATTTTCATGATAGTATTTATTCTTTAATGAATAGGTGCCTCTCAATTTTTTTTCCAAATCCTCTTTGATCAATAAATATGATTTATTTATTCATGCATGGTAAACAAATAATTAAAACATTAAATATTATAAATCCCAGTTAACATAAACAAAATTAACAGATAATGAAAATATTTCATTTGCATAAATTCTACATTTATTGTTAACTTTAAAATTGGTTGTGTATTAAAATTATTTTTATCTTATTTTATGTTTTTGTGTTTTTTAGAAATGTATCTTTTTTATCTGGAGTTAGTTTTTCCCTCTTGTTCTTATATTTCCTACACCAGACCTGGATAATACTTGGATTTTCTCCTTTTCAACCGCCATAAGGTAAGGATATTTCTTTATGCATACGTGTAATCCTCTAGATTTTCCATTTTTTTATTTTATTTTAATTCGAAGATATAATTGTTATAACAATAATCCTGAAAATAGCAGCTTAGTTTAATTATTTACTCAATAACATTTAATAAACTAAAAGTAAAGTTATATTATATTAAGCAGATGTCGATAATGACCCCAGAGGTTGAGGCATTTATAAATAATTTTAAAAAATACATAGATTATATATAAGTGTCATAAATCTTAAATGAAGCAAATACTTTAATTATTATTTGTACAAGAGATCTGTTATTAAATGCTTTGTATGTTTAAATTATCTAAAGGTATGTTGGTTCAGCAAGATGATTTGTTATGCTAGTGAATTTTAGTAATAAAAAAATCCATTACATGCTGCTGCAATGTGCAGTCAGCGTCATAGGAATTGCATCACTCATGAACAATTTTATTTTATTTACCATATTGCTGTCTACAAGAGCTCCATTAATTTCTCTGGCATTTCTGAAACAATAGTCTAAAAACAATCGCACCATTAAGCAGTAAAATTGATTGCTCCTCCCAGTTCCTTTCTTTTCCTCCATGTTGCTTTTTATTTTTTTTTTAAGCTATGATTACCATTGCTTGGTTGTACCCTATCCTCGTTACTATTCCGCCTGAAAATTCCTTCACTTTATCTAATGTCACAATCTTAGTATTTTCTGACAAGGACAGTTCTTTTAAACTTGTCATAATTACAGATTTTATCCTAGCATTAGTTAAAACTGAACTGAGATACATTGTTAAAGTTTCATTACAACCTAAATAAGTAAAGAAAAACAAAATCATTGAATGGATTCAAAATAAGATTAAAAAGAAATTGGTGATACAATTTCTATGATTGCAACTGTATATTAATGGAAAAGTTTTGGTAGTGGATGAGATTCAATCAGGTTTCTAACTTTTACTGTTTAAGAAAATGAGATAATAGTTAAGCCTGGTTTAAAAACTTTGAAATTATTTATATTTTCTTCATCACTCTCAATTATCTTGTTTGACTCTTTATGTTGGACATTTTTTTTTTTTAATTCTCGTTTTTTCAATGATATAATATACATATATATTCTAACTTATTTTTGGTAATTCATTTTCAATCTGAATAAGCATTTTATCTTTTTTTCTCCTTAAGTCAATTTTCAAATAATTTTAAAGATTATATTTATGTTTTTTTAATTATTACTGACAGAGGAAGAAATTTTAAACATTGGACATTTAAGCCCTGTTAAGTGACCTACCTGATATTAAAGACCATTTAATTATACATTGATATACCAAAATTAATCAAAATTGTTGAAGCCTCTTTTTAGGAAACTAATTGTAAAAACATGGAAAATCCATCGGTTTTAGAGCTAGTATGGTCATACACACACACACATGGACACATGCAAACCACTTGTGAATCCTGGATAGACAGGAAACATGGGGAAGTGCACAACTATCTAACTGGACATGGATACTTTCGTACCTATCAGTATAGGTTCAAACTGGACAGGAAAGCAGAATGCCAAATACAGATAGGTATGCGCCTTTTTAAAGATTTTCATCTATCCTCATGAGAAAAAAAAAACATTTGTGGGACTTAGGGGGGACCTCAAAACGTTTTTTTTCGTTGAAAACTCAGATTTGAAAACTTTCACGATTGCAATACTTTCCCATACTATATATTACATATATAGGTAAGTTAAAGTTTTGAACTAGCTTTAAAACTTTATTTCTTAACCACATCTAGAAGTTGCTTATAATTACATAAGTCATGGTTGATTAGATTACACCACAATAATTGGCAATATTAATACTACTTTGGAAAGTCTGTTTTAAAAAGAGTTTTTATTTTTAAATTTAATAAGATAATTTTGCTAAAAATAAAAATCATATTTTCTGAATGCTAACATAGATTAATGTACTGTAGTCCATTAAAGGGATAGAACTCTGTGCTTAAATGCTCTCTAGCGTCCTCTTGACAAACTTATAGCTTCTCCAGTTGGCCACAAGAGCTCGACTCTGATGTTTTCTTGGAAGTTCTACTCAGCATTTAAAAAAAAGAATATTATTTAAGTTAATGATAGTAGCCACAAAAAATAATTGATTCATTCTTTTCTTTAAATACGTCTATTAAAAAAAATAAAATAAATTTAGAGATTTTGATATTACGCGGTCCATTCTAAATATTTATACAATACATTTTTAATTTTCTTTTCTTTTTTAAATTCAATTTTTTTTTTAAATTAAATGTTTTGGAATAATCATCCGAAAATTTTAAATAAATAGTTTCAAATTGTATCAGCTTTTGATGAAGTGTTGTTTTTACCACATAAAATACGATTTCATATTATTGATTTATTGAAAACGGCCCTAAAAAGAAAAATGAAAAAGATATGATACGATTTCGGCAATCAAATCTTGAGCAATGTCGATTTAATTAATAAATATAACATATATAGATAATATGGAATGATTAAACAAATAAAAATAATATTGCAATATTTATTTTAAGCAAAAAGTAATATGGTTTAGTTATCGAATTAATGATTACAAAAATTAATACAGGAAGAAAGTAGAAAAATTAATTTAACATACTAAATATAATACTAACCGTATCTATAGGTATCCAATAACGAACAAAAACATTAATCATTGAAAGAGGATCAGTTGTTTAAAAAAATAATAGGTCCTCATAACTATTGCAATAAGTGCCAAGTTTAAAATTTTAATAACAGCTTACTAAATCTATAAAAACTTGTTTAATTTGTGGA